CAAATGTCTGCTTGCTTCTTTCTCTCATTTAAATTCATGGAGTTCTGAAATGGTTTCTTTCTAATGGAAGTTTGTTGGGACAGAGGAGACTATGCTGTTAGAGTATGCTATTAGAGTAATGCAGAAATCGCTATTCTCTGAAGCTAGTGAACCGAGGGAAGATGAATATATCTGTAGTTTATCATGTTCAGCTACATCTGGCAGCAATGAATATAAATTCAACTTGGTGCAGTCTATATTTTTCTCAATTGGCTCTTGGTGTGAAATTAAACTGCAAGATTATCATCTGCATTTCTCTCAGGTGATCTTGAGATGCTCAGATGTAAAATTTTGTCAATTTTGAATTTTCAAGTTCTGCTTTATTGGGGTCTCTCATTTATGAAAGACTTTTCAGCTGAAGAGACCATTTTTTGTACCTCAGAAATCTTCTCTCTTTAAAGGGGTGATGAACATGGCAGTCAAAATTTGCAGAGTTGATGCCAGCAAGATTTTTAAGGTAATTCATGTAATTCCAAATTGTTTAGTTCAGGTCTATAGTGAGTTCTACTTCGATTGCTTTCATATGTTAATAATTGTGTGAGGGAAGGATTTGGCAGTTTCAGGAATTCGATTTTTGGCTCCTTTGGAAATGTTACAGAGAGAGGTTTCCCTGCTAGTTGGATTGTTGGTTTGTGACTTCTACCATTTCAGGTTGCTTCTCTGTGTGAGCGCATGCGCACACAATGGCATGCCTGTCCCAAATAAGAAGTCTAGATGCTTACTGTATTTGTTCCTAATCCCTTTTCTTTTCTACCCCTTATTCAATTTGTAGGGATCTGCTCAAAAAAATGTAGGGATCCTTAGAATTATGGAAAATATAATGGAGAATTTTTTTTATTGATGCTATCACATATTTTAGCTGCATGTTACTTAACATTTTCTTTTTCATTCTTAATTAATGGGTTACTTCTATATTAAATTATTTGATGATATTAGAAGACAAATAAAGGTGCAATTTCCATGATGAACCACTAATCAATATAAGATCTGATTAGACAATCTTTCATGCTTGCAGTCTATAGAATCTGATGATTTGGGGGAGATTACATCGAGGAAAGTGAAGGGATATGTTGATCGGTCGTTGGAAGCTGCCTGCATGAGGGTAAATCACGTAAAATGGTTTCAGATATTTACTTCTTTAGTGGATGCCTGTTACTATTATTGACAAAATAGTGTGGCAACATAGTAATGCTTAAAAGTTGATGTCTTGGTATTTCAGGTGATGGATAATATATATTTCGGATCTGAAGTAGATAGGACACATCCCTTGGCCCTCCTTGCAAGTGAGCTTAAAATTATTGCTGAGAGGGAGCTCAGTATGTATTATCCTGTCCTATGTCATTGGTATCCTCAAGCTGGCATAGCTGCATCCATAAGATTGCACCGTTTTTATGGCGAAAAACTGGTTGGTAGTTGTTTAGAGCTAATCCATTTTTGTTTATCCCTCTTGTGGTTGGTTGATGTTCTCTAATTCATGTTTATGACTTTCAGAGGCCATTTCTCCAGAGTGTATCATGCCTTTCTGAAGATGTTAGAGCAGTACTTCCTGCAGCCAACGAATTGGAGAATTGCCTTACTGAGCTTTACTGCACTGCATGTCAAGAAAATGGCTTGACTTTGCAGTTCAGTGAAGAATTTATCCATTATCAGGTCTATTTATATAATTTAGTTGACACGCTGTAGTCAGCTTCTTCAAGTGTTAATGTCAATTAGCTAAGCTTTAGGAAACATCTATATTGATTTTTGGTGGAATATTCTGCAATATTGTTACATATCCGATTTTCTGAAAATGCTAGATGGGAATGTGGCGTCCTTTGTGTGACTGTTTACATCAGAATCTTTTTAGATTACAACTTTTTAGTGTGTGTTTTATGTGCAGAGTTAAAGTGCTTGCATTATGCATAATGGATATTGACATTACTAAAACTTTGACACCTTGTCAACGATGCATGAGAACTTGTCTTAGTGTTGTGCTGTAAAGAATGTGTTTCATAGAACTAATACAAGTAATTAATGGTTCTGTATTTTTAGCTTCCTTTATTTTGGTGTGCAAAGTGAAGTTTTTTGATGTTAGGCTTTACTTATGTACTGATGGGTCCTTCCTAATGTGCAGATTGGAGAAATTTCGAGGCCACTAATCCTTGATTGGATTATTGCCCAGAATAAACGTGTCATGGAATGGACTGCACGTGCTTTTGATCTTGAGGTTTGTCCGATACTATGTTACATTCCTAAGAGCAAAATACAAACTTATACTCCATAGTCCAAAGGGTTAAAAAGATAAATTTCCTTAAGTAAATGGGCAAACCCCTTTTGCCTGCTCCTTATGTCTTTTCGTTTACACTTGTAAAAATTGTATTAGTCCTCTTCTTGGATCTGTTTCTTGGGGTGGTTAATTCTGAGATTACATTTAATTATAGCTGAAATAGGTGCTCTAACCTTCATTGAATGCCTTAATTTCTTTTTCTGATGCAAATTTATGTCAATTGTCTTGATTGAAAATCAGAACTACCTATTATTCTTTCTCTAATAAATACTTATACACCAAAAGGAAGTAGTGGCCATACTTGGCCACTATTCCCTTATATTTCAATTAAATGATATGATGGGCCTAAATGTTTCCTTGTTCTTTAAACAATTTCATAGCTGCAACTCTCTTGTAATACTCCGTGCGTTATCAGACTTAGACATTATGTTTCATGTTCAGTCAGTGTTAAGCTGCAAGAAGGTTGGTCTACATGAATTAAGCATTTTACAAGTATACAGGATGGCTGTAGTGTTTCGAGTTACAGTTTACTTCTGCAAGTGGAGTTGTGATCCTATTGTTGAGTGTATTCATATTGTTACCATTTGCAGAATTGGGAACCTTTGTCACATCAGCAAAAACAAGCACCTTCAGCAGTTGAAGTGTTTAGGATCATAGAGGAGGTTTGTCTTGTTTGCTAATGCATTTTTGTCTATTGCTACATTTTCTTATTACTTGCAAGGTAGAGTGGTTTTAGTGACAGATGGCTTATAGAATGGGAATTTTGTACAGATACTGCATATTGACCTTTATTTTTGCCTTCATTGGGATACGTTGTTCTTTAATTCAAGTTTTCTCCCCTTTTTCCCTTTTTCCCCACATTTATTCATTAATAAGTAGCATTCAGTAGTAATTGGAGGAGTTTCAATAGAAAGGTCATTAATTAAGACACTTATGAAGGTGGTGCTTTGTGCATTTACTTGTACTAATAAAATTTTCTGTTTCAAATGCAAATGTAACAATAAGAGAGAGATGTTCTAATAGAGGGCTAAAGGCTGAGGGTTCATAGGAAGACAACAAAATGCTGAAGTGCTTTTGTTGTAAAGCTTATGTGAATTTGTAAAAGCCTCGTACCAATTCATTCTCAGTGTTTAAGGAGATCTCTGCAGATGGCATCATTCTTGTCCATATGTATCACCCAAGATGTGCTCTCTTTGAATGTGACAGAATTTTTTTATTGATAAGGGCGAAGAAAGTTTTCAAGTCATAGTGAAGATCTTATCGGTTTAAAAGTTTTCCAAATACCACATTCATATCCCCTGGTATATGCATTAAATAATGGTAATTTTCCAGGAATATTTGAAGCCTTTTATATGGTGCAGGTTTCCTGCCTGGGTTGGGATTCCCTGCCTGCTCCCCCACCCAACCAAAAAAAAAGTGAACTACAAGCAACTTTTCTGAAATTGAAAAAATATTAATTTTGTTTCAAAATGATCCCAATGCCTGCACTCCAAAATTTCAAAAACGCTGGTTATAGCTTTATTATAATCTGTTGAGAACAAGTCCTGTGCCTGGTGGTGAAATGTCAGCAACGAACACATTTGGTCGCTGTTACACAACTGTGAAGTAGAATCACTAGGAGTTTGCATTGGGAACCTTACTTAGCTTGACTATTGATGTTTCTTGAATCTCTAAAGTTCAAATTTCATGTGATGTCTATAGTTAATGTTCACTGAAGTATATCAAGGTTTCCATTTGTCTAGGTTTTGGTACATAATGTGATGGTTTCTAAGATCAAGGGAAGTTTGGTTTATAAGTTTGTTCTTGTCCTCTGTTTTGGTCTTGCTACTCAATATACAAGAATAATTCAATTATTGACTGCCTCAGTTGAATTGTCCACTTTCAGTTCTTTCTTTTCATGTTTCCTTCTGCGCCTCTTATTTCAAAATAACTTTGATTTGCAGACTCTGGATCAACTTTTTCAGCTGAGACTACCAATGGATATTACACACCTGCAGGCTTTGCTTTCCATTATATTTCATACATTGGATGCTTATTTACAGAAAGTTACAAGTGAATTAGGTATGTAGCAGTTTGCATGTACTTTACATATATCTGGATATTCTTTCCTATTTGCTTGCTTACAAGTCTTCATATCTTTTGAGCCTCTTTTGCACTTCAGCAGGTTAAAACCAGTTAGATATGTTCCATTTGCATGTTGCACGAAATGATCCAGTGTTTGTGTCCCCATAGAGTTAGACTTAATTCTGGATGTGAAACTGTTGTGGCTTCTTTCTTTAATGCCTCTCTATATTTGTTAAAGAGAGGCATTATAATCTGTTCTGCCCCTTTATATCTGTACCATAATTTGGACTTCTTTCTTTTCGAAATCTTTACCAGCTTGGATACCATCTGTTGTAATAACACCAATCGACAATTCTCGTGCTTTTGGAAATAAACTTGATCTGGAAGATGCTGTTTGTAGGATCTTTTTTGGGTAGGTAAGATTTTATTAATACCCAAGAAAATACAAAATACAAGGAGCGTTCCCCAGGCACAACGCAATCAACAAATCACAGACTTCTCAACAAAAACATGCTACAAGGACGATCATCCTACACAGTACACAGCATGTTCATTTGTAGGATCTTTATTCATTTGTCCCGTGGTTGTCTAGATTTCTGTCGACATACAATCCTGGAGATAATTTTTTTTAAAAAAAATTCAATATTTCAGAATATTTGGTTGAATCGCCTAGCATTTAAGTGTCCTAATGCATTTGAGATTGTGGGTGTAAGTTTTTGGCTACTAAAGTGATCTAATCTATATTGCTTTTATGTACTCAAAAGAGTCAGATACATCTTGCATGTAAGTTTTTTCAGATCTTGTCTGAGTAGTTTTTTATTGGCTAAAACTTGACCTGTGGTGGATGTAATGTTCCTACCTGTCAACAGGTATCTTGGGAGGAAAACATCTAGTCACCCTATTATGAGTGACCAACTAGTATTTATAGGAGTACAAACCTAACAGACTATTTACAAGAATACCCTTACTAATTTATTATCTATAAGAATACTAATATTCTCCTAACACTCCCCCTCAAGTTGGAGCATATATATCATAAGCACCCAACTTGTTACAAATATATTTCACCCTAGAGCCCCCTAAACTCTTAGTAAATACATCAGCCAATTGATCTACAGACGGTACATGAGATGTCTTGATGACCCCGTCAAGCAATTTCTCTCGAATGAAATGACAATCAACTTCAATATGTTTTGTCCTTTCATGAAACACTGGATTAGACGCAATATGAACAGCCGCCTGATTATCACACACTAAATTCATAGGCTGTTTATGTTCAAACCCAAGTTCCAGTAACATGCTCTTCACCCAAACCAACTCACACACAGTGTGAGCCATAGCGCGGTATTCAGATTCTGCACTTGATCTGGATACAACTGTTTGCTTCTTACTCTTCCACGACACTAAATTACCACCAACAAACACACAATATCCTGTAGTCGATCTTCGATCTGAGGCAGAACCAGCCCAATCTGCATCACTATATCCTTCAATATCATTGTGTCCATGATTTTGATACAGCAACCCTTTTCCAGGAGCATTTTTAAGATACCTGAGAATCCGTATAACAGCATCCCAATGACTAGTACGAGGGGTATCAAGAAATTGACTCACAACACTCACTGCAAACGAAATGTCAGGTCTCGTTACAGTGAGATAATTTAATTTACCCACAAGTCTTCGATATTGCTTAGGATCATCAAGTAATGCACCTTGATCTCCTGCTAATTTCACATTGGGATCCATAGGAGTATCCACAGGTCGGCAACCTAACATCCCAACTTCACTCAACATATCGAGTACATATTTTCTTTGACATAAATAAATCCCATATTTAGACCGAGCTACCTCAATACCCAGAAAATACTGTAGATGACCTAAATCCTTTGTCTGAAAGTTTGCCTGCAGATTGGATTTAAGTTTCTGAATCCCCACAACATCATCACCTGTAATCACAATGTCATCCACATAAACAACTAATAAAATTTTACCAGCATTAGAATGCCGATAAAATACAGAGTGATCTACTCCACATCTTGTCAGACCGAACTCCATGACAACACTACTAAACCGGCCAAACCAAGCCCTCGGGGACTGTTTCAATCCATATAAGGATTTTTTCAAACGACAAACCAACCGCGGATTCTCCCCCTGAACAACAAATCCAGGAGGTTGTTCCATATATACCTCTTCTTCCAAATCTCCATGCAGAAATGCATTTTTCACATCCAACTGATGCAATGGCCAATTATAAGTTGCTGCCAAAGAGATAAGAAGACGGACAGAGGTAATCTTTGCAACAGGAGAAAATGTTTCTAAATAGTCTACTCCATACACCTGAGTAAATCCTCTAGCTACCAACCGAGCCTTCAATCTATCAATAGAACCATTAGGCTGCACTTTTATAGTGTACACCCATTTACAACCAACAACAGGCTTACCTGAAGGACGAGGGACAAGATCCCAAGTACCATTTTGTTCCAAAGCAGACATCTCTTCTTGCATAGCTAATCTCCAACCATGATGATTAAGAGCATAGGTAATAGACTTAGGAATAGAGATAGAATCAAGAGAAGCAACAAAAGAAGAATATGACATAGAGAGACGAGAATAAGAAACAAAATTAGAAATAGGATGGGAAGTACAATGTCTCTTACCTTTGCGTAAAGCAATAGGAAGATCTAACTCAGAGGAGGGCGTCATACCTGGATTTGAAGATTGAGAGTTAATTGGTGAAGTGCGTGGCATATCAGGAACTTTCTCAACCATGGAACGACGAGAGTAAACTTGAAGATGAGGACGAGATAATCGAGCTATGGAATCTGGTGGACTAGACAACTCAGGTAATAAAGGGGAAGGGACTGGTAAAACAGGAGAGGAAAAAGAGGGACACTGGTCTAATTCACAAGACATACTTTGCTTGATAAAATACGGAGTGGATTCAAAGAAAGTAACATCAGCACAAGTAAAAAATCGATTTAAAACTGGACTGTAACATCTATACCCTTTTTGCGCTCGTGTATATCCTAAGAAAATACACTTAATAGCACGAGAATCTAATTTATCCACCCCGGGAGCAAGCTGATGAACAAAGCACACACATCCAAAAATACGAGGAGGCAATTTAAACACAGATTCATGAGGAAAAAGAATGGAGTGAGGTAATTGACCTCCAAGAATATTAGATGGCATGCGATTAATTAAATAACATGCAGTTAGAATTGCATCACTCCAAAATTGTTTGGGCACATTCATGTGCAACAATAGTGTTCGAGCAATTTCGATTAAATGCCCAATTTTTCTTTCAGCAACTCCATTCTGTTGTGGAGTGTGAGGACAAGAGGACTGATGAATAATACCAGACTTAGTCATAAAGGTATTAAAAGGAGTGGAAAAATATTCTTTCGCATTATCACTGCGAAGTATACGTACAGGCACACCAAATTGATTCTTTATTTCTGTAACAAATGCACAAAAAATGGAATATAATTCTGAACGATCTTTCATTAAATAAAGCCATGTAACTCTGGAAAAATCATCAACAAAGACTACAAAATATTTAAAACCTAACTTTGAAGTGACTCGACTAGGACCCCAAACATCAGAATGAACTAACAAAAAAGGTTCAGAAACCCGTTTATTGACTCTAGGAGCAAAAGAAACACGATGATGCTTTCCTAACTGACAAGACTCACATTCTAACGAAGATAATTGATTCAAAGTAGGAACCAACTTTTTCAAATTTTGTAAAGACGGATGACCTAAACGACAGTGAATTTCAAGAGGAGAAACAGTAGCAGGACATGCTATCGGACCATTGAAGTTGAGAAAATAAAGACCATTATGCTCATGCCCTCCACCAATCATCCTCTTTGTCTTCAAATCCTGAATGACAACAGAATCAGGAGAAAAAGTAACTGTACACTGTAGAAATTTAGTGAGCTTACTAACAGACATTAGATTAAATGGCAAATTGGGTACGTAAAGAACAGAAGATAGCGGAAGTGATGGATTAATTTCTACAGTGCCTAGTCCTTTAACTTTAGTAGTAGATCCATCAGCTAAAGTAACATGAGGAAAGGGAGTTGACTCTTGAAAATTAGAAAAAATTTTAGAGGTACCTGACATATGATCAGTAGCCCCGGAATCAATAATCCATGGGTCATTACCTTTTTGTGCTAAAGAAGCAGAGGGAAGAGATGCGTGATTTGTAGCTTGGTACTGTAGGAATTTAACATAATCTTCCTCAGATATAGTAACAGTTTTCTGGGACCCATGTGTTGAAGAACTTGATTCAACTTGGTCAGTGATAACCGTATTAACAAACCTTTCAACCATAGCGAATAGCACGTCAAACGAAAGAACGGGTCAAAACTTGAGACAAACGCGTGAACAGTAACGGCATGAACAGTAACTACGTGAACAGTATCGGCGTGAACAGTGCCGTGAACAGTATACGTGAACAGTGCCGCTATGAACAGTGCGGCGTGAACAGTGATTTGCTAGATGTTTTACCCTAACCCTAGGACTTTTGCTCTGATACCATGTCAACAGGTATCTTGGGAGGAAAACATCTAGTCACCCTATTATGAGTGACCAACTAGTATTTATAGGAGTACAAACCTAACAGACTATTTACAAGAATACCCTTACTAATTTATTATCTATAAGAATACTAATATTCTCCTAACACTACCTTTTGCCTAGAATTTCAACAATATATTTCAGCTGAATTTGAAATTCCTTAGTCACTGATATGTATGAAGTTCTTCTCTAATATGCAGTTGGAAAGCAAAATCTCTATCCATCTATACCACCTCTGACTTATTACAAGGAGACGACATTTCCGATAGTAAAGAAGAAGCTAGTTGAGTCTACTGTGCTCGAGGATGAAGTTACCAATAAATTGAATGAATTGACAACATCAAAACTCTGCGTCAGATTGAACACTCTTCAAGTAAGCTCTAATTTATTTATCTTAATTGCTGGTCACCTGTCATTGAATTTTGCGTGCAGTTATACAAGAAGAAAGCTTTTTTTTTTCATCCGAAAGTGTCCCTATTAATGCATTTTTTATTCATGATGAATGACGAAATGGAGTACAAGCTAGTGGCACTGGTGAATTGCATCAGTACCTTTCAGACCAGATGCAGTTCTAAACTTGGTTTGGAGTATCCTCTGGGGAATTTCAGTACCCAGAAAATGTAGTTCTTATGATCTCCTAAACCTGAAGATTGATATAGCCAAAGCATTTAAAGGACGAGTTCATCTTATAGGGAAAATAGCCTAGGAATTCTTCTGAAAAAGATTTAGGCCTAAAGTTTGCCTGAGGAACTAAAAGATGATTTTTGTTGAAGGATAATACACTTTTGAGTATTCATCCAGTTATAGTGATCTGCATCAAGTTAGCATGCTTCGTGGCAATAGATTCTGTCGGTTTTGTCTTTGTATATTTATTTTTCAAAAATGAATAAGTATCCATTTGCCAGGGTGTTAATGTGGATTCTTCCTGTGTTTCTTCATCAGATATTTTGTTCATTTATCATATCTAAATTAAGAGAATGGTGCCAAGTGGATGCAGTAACAAGAATTCTTAGTAAATAATTTCTGAAGATTGGTTATAAGTTAATGCCTTTTCTCCACAAGTTGGTATCTGAATGAATTAAATATTCTAATTCTAGTCTTACGTTTCTTCTTTATCTACTTCATGTGCAGTATATTCAGAAACAAATTTCTGCACTCGAAGATGGCATCAGGAAGTCTTGGTCATTTGCTGGGCCATTTGATAATGGAGAACATTGTAAGTTTCAAACTTGCAAATATTTGATCCATTAATTGTTATTAAGTTTTTGGCAGAAAAATAAATAGCCACTAAAGTTTTCATGTGGTGTACTGTTAAGCCACTAAACCATTTCAGTTTTCGGTTCACCTGCTGAACTATTAAAAATTATGTACATTAGGGCCATTTTGGCATGCCTTCTAATTTTGTTGTTGGTTCGGACAAAAAGAAGTAAAATCTAAAAGGCACTGATTTGAGGAAGTTATTTGGAAGTTGTGATATCCTTTTCTTTTCGTTCATCCAGCAATAGAGGAATCCCCTGAGACTTCTGGCAGAATTTTAGATACCTGTAGTGAATCAGTTGATGAGCTTTTCGTTGCCACCTTTGACTGCATCAGGGATACTGCTGCTCATGCTATCAGAAGTATCTGTGAGTTTATTGGTAAGTAGCGCATCATTCGTGTATTTGTAAAACATAACGACAGAGTGGTGATCTTCTGTCATATCCAAATTTATTCATCAAATTTGTATCTTAATCAGAAAATGTACTTCATTTTTCACTGTTTTCAAACAAAGTAGTTGACTTTGTTGCAATTTTCCTTTGTAACTTTTTATTGAATGTCCTAATTCTCATGACTGAACATTTACTTCTATATTTTCCTGGTTCTGGACAACAGAATTATGTCTACATGACAGTTTGAGATATTGTGACTCTTAATGTCTTCTGCGAGATCTTACATTCTTGGGTTTCTGTTGTGCAACAAATGATAAATTGACCTTGTGTTGCTGCATAGATATATAGTTTTGAGATTTTTCAGTATTTTAAGTTATCATTGGATGGTGTTGAAATTCTCTTTTATCTTCACTTGATATGGTTCGTAAATTATAACTGAAAGTTGGTTATAATTCTCTAGGCTAATAAATCTAATAACTGACTGTTTTCAATCTTAATGTGAGAGTTGTTATGTGCAGATACATAGAGTCTTCTATATATTTTCAATTTTGCTCTATAAGTTTCTCAAACAAACTTTTCTAAACTTAAATATTGCTATGGTTTTTAAACCTTGAAATTGTTCTCATTATCTCCATATGCAGAAAGCAAAGTCTTGTTATTGTGGTGCTAATATGACAAACTGATTGTCATTACTATTGCTCTAATGCTAGGGGTAAGGGTTGTCTTCTGGGATTTGAGGAAATCATTCCTGTACCGTTTGTATCATGGTGGTGTCGAGAATTCCCGTTTAGACAGTTTACTTCCAAGCCTTGATGGCGTAAGTGCTTACAACTTGTCTCCTAGCACTTTTATCTTTTTTCCTGACTTGCTTTCTATGATTACCAAATTGCACATTATTCACCATATGGCTGTGTCTCGTTCATTTGAGACATTTTTAGGATTGATTTTATTCTGAGAGGCATCCTTGCAGGCCCTTAATCAAGTCTGTGGTTTGATTGATGATGCACTACGAGATCGTGTAGTCTCCAGCATTTTTAGGGCAACCTTGGTATAATGTTGTGCTCATGAATCAAATTTACAATCTTCCTTTTGTTTTACCCTAAAATTTGTTTCATCCTTGTACAGGAAGGATATGTTTGGGTGTTACTGGATGGAGGACCTTCACGCGCATTTTCTGATTTAGATATTCCTTTGATGGAAGATGACCTCAACATGTTGAAAGTGAGTGTCAGAATGCTTTATATTTTACTTGTCTTCTTTGCATCCTCAAGTGTTCATCAGTCTCTTCACCTAGCTCTTCTGATCCCTCTATTGTTTGTATTTTCACATATGATACACCATTTCAGTATTGGATATTATCAAATCATAGTAAGAGACTTTCTTTTGCCTTCATCTGTGTAGTGGACTTTATTTTCCCATATAATCTTCTTTTGACCTAATAAAAATGAATACATTAACTGGGATACAAATTTGAAAGTTCTTCAGGAGGTGAAGGGATAACAGGTAATGAGTGGTAGAATACATCTCCGTAGCATAAAACAACCTTAATGGTTATTGTCTACTTGGTGCATTTCTAAGATATTGTTGAGTCTGCTATAAAATGAAAGATCACCTTTTGCTCACAGGAGTTACTGTTTTTGAAAGCTACGGAGGGCAGAACTCTCTCTACATTTGTGCAAATGCTTCTTAAAATATAATTACTTGTAATTCTCTCCACAAATTTGGAAGTTACAGAAAAGGAGATTTGTCCTTAAGATGATTTAGTTAATGCAATTGCTCTTTCAGTCCTCCAAAGTAGATTATTCTGCTGCATTATTCTCCAGGACTTATTCGTAGCTGATGGAGAAGGCCTTCCTCGTTCTTTAGTCGAGGAAGAAGCAAAATTTGCCCATCAACTTCTAAGCCTGTTTTCCCTTCAGGTATAATAATGCACCATTCTGTTCCTTGTGGACTTGATTAGCTGGTTCATATTGTCATCTTCTTGTTAATCCTGCTCTTAACAGGCTGAATCTGTTATCCAACTGTTAATGAGTTCGAGTCAACACATCTCAGTGGGACTAGAGGTACATAAATCTGGTCACAGGTGCTTGGGTGATGCCGATACACTGATACGAGTCGTATGTCACAAAAAAGATAGAGAAGCCTCAAAGTTTTTAAAGGAACAATATAAGCTTCCTGCATCTTCAGGTAAACTACGTGTTAAGCAACACCCCCCCCCCCCTTTCTCTTTTTTCTTTCAAACCAAGACAACTAAACTTTCAGTTTTTATTTGTTGATGATTACTTTTTGCTTCTAATATTTCTGTCTGTTTTGGTATGATTTGTTTGGGCTTCGGATTATGTTGTTCAAAGCTCATTTATACATTACCCGACTATTTTTGTTCTTTGCTGGAGGTCAGATTGTATCTTGGATTGCATAAAATCCTGGCATCTGGCATCTACATGGACAGTAGACGTGCCTCTCAGTTCCTCTGTCCACTTTAGTTCTGCTAAGTTGTGTATTTCTGATATGTAGAATATGACGAGGATGGAGTGGAGCCTAACTTCAAATCAGTTCTAGTGACGGATCTTATAAGGCGAAGTGCATCAGCTCGTTGGTCGGACAAGGGCCACAGTAGCTTCAAATCTATTAAGAAGAAGCTGCAGGAAGCTACTTGGAGATAAAAGGCTTGGGTTATGGTTAAGCCCACCCGATTCTGAAGCAACTCAAAATGATTTAATACTACTCTAGCCTGCCTGGTGCACCTCAGATTAAAGCTATGCTCTTCATGTCCCAAACAAGATGGATTTCATGAATCTGGCAGTATAGAAAAATTTGCTTTGATGCGTGTGAAGGCAGCGTTCCAAAGGGATCTTTCAGCTGATTCATAAAATAGATTTTTTTTTTTTTGGGGGGGGGGGGGGGGCGCCGAAGGCTTGTTGCTGCATCTCCTGTAGGAAATCTAGCAAGCAAATTTGGGCGTGTTGTTTCTTGTTCCTGTTTGTGTGGTATTCCATCTTCATTGTGATTAATTTTTTTCGAGGGTAGGACTCCTGACCGAACTTCATATTGAACTAGGCAATCCTGCAGACTTAGGGTGCGTTTGATGCATCTGAAATTTGAAGTCTAAAATTTGAAATTTATTAATTTATTGAATTGTTGAGTATTAAATTTTAATATTTGAGCATATTTTGTATTAAATGATAAATGAATGATATCATTTATTTTTTGGGAAAAAAAAAAAAAAGAAAAAAATTCTTCGACCGGATTAAGAAAGTACAAATGGTTCTAAAATAAGAAAGGCTGATTTAGTATCGTTGCTATATCCTGTCTTACTTAGGAAGATTGTAAACTGTATCTATCCATAGGGAAGCACTAGTTTGTTTTAACATTGCATTACGGGAAGGGAAGGGAAGGAAATAGCAGGCTTTGATGTTAATGTAAAGACAGTTTTGATAAGTTAATGACAAAGTTGGTGGTGCAGTTGTCAATAGCCCAAGATCATGTTGGAGAGACCAGACCCGGATCCGGATCGATCAAGTTTAAAAGGTGACTGACTGCTCATTCTAAGTTCTAGGCATCTTTTGCCCTTCCCTTTCTGAAAATGTTGTTAGAAAACATCAAATTTACATGCAAGATTGACCCTGGCATGGTAATTTTGACTTTCTCCGCTCTGACAATTCCTACAACTAGAAGGATTTTAGAGCTGAAAGTTTACAAGAAGCAGCTTTCAATGAAAAAGGGAAAGAAGAGCATGCAAATCTGTTAGAATTTGATGGGTGATGGCAGAAACTGATAGCCCTCAGTTTGTGAATGATGGCACGCTCCGCATCAATAGTTATTTGCATTTCATGTGCCATTACTTGGATGGAAGCGACCTTTTCTGAACCTTCTACTTTCTACAACGACGCAACAGCAATGATTAACCTTTAGTTCAGATTATAAATGTTGTTCTATTATATTCCCATTTTCCTTGTATCGATTCATCTTTATCAGGACAACAATTCTGGCATACCCATTTTGGTTTACTGCAACAAATTTCAGGGAGCAAAGAACCAACAACTTTGTAGATGTGTTCAAAATTGAGCATTACTGGACCCAGTGCCAAAAGGACTGGGGGAAAAGCCTATTTGCTTCCCCAGTCCAATGCAGGAGATGTAGAAATGTATTTGCAGGGTGCACAGAAACCTGATTCTCAATTTGTTTATAATGGCTCCGATAGAACTTGTATTGCCGAGTAAATTACTACACCTTATCTCTTCTCTCTTTCTGATCTTTTAACTTTGCCCCAAGATATTCCTGAAAATTGAGTTATTTTTTCCTTTTTTGTGATAAAGAAAGTAAAATTGGGACATATAAACTCAGAAGTTGGGACCTCAGTGTTTCCATTCCTTCTTTTGAGATGTCTAGAAACTCATCATCAATCAAAAATTCCGTTTCAAGTTTCTAAGTGGTTAGTAATGGCACTCAAAATTTGCTTAATGCTTTAAAAGTTGTAGTAGTACTCCATAATCACTAGACTGCAAAATTCGCGACCACAAATTTCTTGATCAAGAAACGAGAGTTCAAGTGGACGGGACGGGACAGACATGGAGCTGGCTTTCAAGTTTTATGCAAGCCAAGTCAACAAGTGTCGCAGCATCCACCTACAACTCACACTAGGTAAGCATTTTCAATAGACCAAAAGTATTAGCATGTCTTGTGAAGATTGTTGATTGTACGTAACAGCTCCATTGTCTCAGTATCTCACGCAATAATTACCGCAGCAACAAATGATTTTTCCTATTAGAATTGCAAATTAAAAAAGTCATTCCCTTACGGTATAAAACGAAATTACATATTATTATCATGCAAGGCCAAAAAAGAAAAATGAAATTAAAATATTCTTGTATAGGAAAAATTATGCGGTTTGGATATTATGTTTGATCATTTGCAGCTCTTATTCCTAGAACCATCCAAAGTAAGATTAGCCATCGCTCGTCAGGCATCAGCTATAAAGCCTTTTCTTTTATCTTTCTAACTCGTAATAAAGCAGCCACATCACGATATGCTTTTTCATTTCTTTTTCTACCTTCTTGCCTTCTCAAATTCTCCTCGTTGGGTTTCTGTTTCTTTGTTACAAGGTAGAACGAGATGTAGGGTAACAGGGAAGGGGGAGGGGCGATGTACAAATCCCTCCATACCAGCCTGGCTGGTTCGTGAAGCTAGCTAGCATCACCACTTTACCACCAGTCACCACAGTAGTACAGGTTGGAAAAGGAAATACACACGATTACACTTATCAAATGTACTGCACTCCATATGTGGCTTATGGCTCAGTCAGACTGTCAGAAGTGGAACTGGAAACACACTCCACGGGGATGCCCACGACCATCCGAGACGCATTCATCTCAGGCCAGTACTGTGTATTGCTGCATGTGGAAGACCATTGAGGATGTGCCATTGGAAGTGGAACTGTACTTTCCAACTTCACAGCAACATTGACTATCCCGTGACCTCTTGAACCATCTCTAGCCCGTAGCTGGTAAGCCAAGTGGCGGAGGGATCCTGCCGGCAAAAGCCCATCTAGGATATCAGTCACCGGAATTTGACACCACCCTAGATGAGTATAGCCTGTAAAGAAGAAGTTCTTCTTCTTGGTGTATAACTGGAGGCACATGCAGGAGAAGTGAGCATCAAGGGGTAGCTGAAACTTTTCACCCCATGTAGGGTTTACACCTCCTTTATCATCCACTTTTGTCCGGCAAACTGTGCTTAGTTTCTTACAACTCATGTTCGCAGCTGCTGCTGGTGGTCTAAATGCGAAAGGTGGGGTTGTGGTAATGGTTGCAAAAGGCCGAAGACGGCGGGGAGGGAAGAGAGTTGAAGAGGAGGAGGCTCTAAGGCCTTGAGCTGATATTACAGTGATCTCCAACATTGAACGCTGATTCATCAGGAAAATTTGCACAATCCAATCGATTGCATGTCGGTGTATGCAGTGAGTGATCGAACTTCTGCATTGATGCGCAACTAGATATACGAACGAGTTAAAGACTTGGGGTAAGTAAGAGTGTTCCAGGGAGTTTCTTTCTGGTGCTGCTCTCTCGCTGCAGCTTCCTTTGTGGAAAAAAAGGGATGGACGTTGCTCAGAGGACAACAGCTACATGATCATATATGGACTGTGGTGGGGCAAATTGGCAATGTGTCATACTCATAATCGGCCCTCTTGATGATAATTTGCCATTAAGAAGCTGTTACAACAATTATTAGATTTTGTTGTTACTCAGCCGAAAATTCTCAAGTTGACTCGTTCTACGTACGTGACTAGAGGTACATTCCTTCGTGGAATCAGGCGTTCCAAATTAGATATACTAATATTTGTCTAACCAGCTCCACTATAGCAATAATGTAGCCCTCTAAAAGTTCTTTTTTTTTTAGACAAAAATATCATTATTTTATTAAATCTACATTAATGGGGGAAATTATATCAGTCACGACTATACATAGTTATGAACAGATTTGAACGATAAATACTGCATGCTAAAATTCTGAAAATTTAATAAAAAAAATTAAACCGTGAAACTCCAAAAATACTAAAAAAAAATTTACTTATATGTATAAAGACCTGGGCATACTTATGCCTACGAGATTGCAAATTAACTGTTTTAATTCCCAATGGTAAATATGACAGAAAAACAATAGATTTAATAAAAGAAATACAAGAGCTATAGAAAGCTCTTACCAAGAATCCTTAGGAGAATAATTAAATAAAAAAAAAACTCTCATTAGAAATTTCTAAGACAGAATAAACTCTCATTAAAAAAATCCTTATGAAAGATAATATTATAAACACGAAAAAGAAAATAAAAAAAAAAAAGACATGAGTGAGCATGTCTTTGGATTAAAGATTTAATCATCAGTGACATGGTTATGAGTCATACATTGACTCATTTTTCTGCCTACTTTACTATCCCATCCCAGGATATAACCAAACATGGAAAGTTAACTTCTTTATATCAAAACATGCTCTAGTTAGTTACACGTATCACTCATAATCGAAAGATAACGGGTTCGAATCATCATGGAATCTTATTTTAAAAAAAAAAACAAACAAACAAACTTCTTTGAATCGTAACTAAAGTTCACTTAAATAAAAGGATAAAGACTACAAAAAGATGCTTTAAAATAGATAAAGCATCTTTATCTACAGACCTGATGGAATGGCAATAAAATCGATTCATTGACTTCATGGAATGGCAATAACGCCCCCATCGTTTTTGGGCATGAAGATGTAACCAGAGGATTGTGCACCATACCAACGATCCATGATTTTTGTACTTTCTGTAACTCTTATTCACACGAATGGAGTAATGAAAAATCCAAAATTTCAATCTCTAAAACTAAACAGGCTGGAATGGTTTATTGCAAGCTGAAAGTGACTCTAAATATCTTCTTCTTTTTTTTTTTTTTTTTTCGCAACGATAACAATTGTATAACCCATTTTAATCTAATCCAAGGAGAGGTGGAGGGGAAACCCGACAAAGAAAGCCACCTGAAGGTGACAGGCTAACCGCCACAATTAAGTGACAAATTTGATGAAAGACAAGAGTTGAACCTTGATTTTTCCCCTTTCCAAGATAATTAAGCTATCTACAGATTAACCTATCCAAACAACATCTCTTACTACTGTACATCTTAGAGCAAAAATCCAATCGCATATCCACGCTACGTAACGAGAATCCTGTCATTAAGTTATCAACCAAATAGCACATCCATCCCCAACCCATGATTAAGTTATCAACCATATAGCATATCCAAGCTATAAAGACGACTATTACTTGCACAAAAAAAAAAAAGAAACAAATATACACATAACCATCATGGTACGTGTTAAACCAGAAGTAAGTCAAGAATTTCGATACCAGCCCCCGGGAATTTTTCACTCCGTAGAGCACTTTCACTCTATTGTCCATAATTTTTTTTCCAGACACCAGCCCCAGGAATGCAATTTTGATATTTCCATGGCCCACAATCTCTCAAACAAATCTACACTAATTCCCCGACTAAATATTCTCTGATCCACTGCGAGTAAATAGAGTAGAACTACCAAAATCAAACTATACACATTTCATCATGTTGTACACAGTATCTCATTTCTGACCTGAAAATAAAAAAGAAAAATAAATATTCTGTTCAGCATGTAATTAGTTCTTAATCTTGAACAGAAACTCCAGCCATGTTTATCTGTTCATTCTACTCGAAAGAATTCTGCAATTGGGCTCCAATCCAGCTTCTTAATGAAAGGCTTGAAATTCATTTCGCCACATCTCCAGAGCCCAAAATTTATCCACCACAAATTGTTTCCAAAGCCCAACTTCGACTCTTTGACCTTTCAGTTTCTAAAAATTTTCCACTTTCTTCAGCTTTCCGGTGGACCCAAGCCGTTTCAATTACCTGGCTGCCAGCCTATCTTTTACTTTCCTTTTGGATCTAAAGAAAACGTTGGGGCCTACCACGCCAGCTCCCCCAGGTTCCAGAAAAGACCAGAACTTCAGAAAATAACCTTTGCGCAACACGTGTTCGTTATCCACGAGGACCATATCCTACTTTTCTCTTTCCTTCGTCGTAGTTCTTATGCGGTCCCCACAGCATACCCCGATTAACTGCATGCTCCACAGAACAGAACACAGTCAAGTCAACTCTCGCCCTCCGATTTTCTCCTTATCGAAATATCTAACCACGCTTGATCATCACGGTGATTATCAACTCTGCAATCAGACGGCTCTGATTTCCCTTCCGATGCATCCGCCTCCTTGTGATCCCTCCCTTGTATCTCATTATCTTCGTCATCGCTTCTTCTCACGCGCTTTACCCCAAGTGAAACCCCGAAGAGCCTCGGACTCACGTACTCCTCCTCCTCCGCCTTCACTGCACCACCACCCGCGGCGCCGCCTCCGTCCATCTCCACCGTAACCCGTCTTCCCGTCATCAAATCCAAAGCTCTTTCTTCCGGCAATTCTCCTCCGCTGGTCTCCGCCTGATTCCCGGCGTAATTTGACATTAAATTATAAATATTGCCACACAAACCCCGCAGCCGATTCAATTCTCGATTTAGCTGCGCGTTTTCTTTTCTCAACCTTTCGTTCTCTTCTAGAATCTCTGGCGTCGTCGTACACGCCGTCGGCAGAACAGTAGTTGCCGCTGGCGAAGAATTGGAGGATACAACCTGCTCGTCACCAGAATTCGCCGGAGATACCACTCTCATCGGCGGCGGAACCGCCACTGTAACAACCGCCTGTGCATTCGCAATAACTGCAGCTGGAGGTGTTGCTACCACCGGCGAAGGAGCTGCCGGAGAGATTTTCCGGCGTTGAATATCCCTTAGTAATCCTTTTTCTCCTCTACGAAAACAATCATTTGCAAACTCCCATCGATCAGGCACCACTTTTCTAAATCCCTATTAAATCATAAACAATAATCAAATTAAGCAATAAGCACTAATTAAATACCAATCCTAAAAATGTAATAAGGAAAAAATTAAATTATTCATGTTATTGTAGCTTACGTAAGTATTGAGTTGGCGAACGAAGCTGGAAAAATTGTTGTGTTTGAAATATTTGGGAAGCAAATCTCTGGCGAATTCAGCTGGACGCCAAACAATAAATGTGGTGCCGTCTTCGTTCCACGAAATCAATTCGTCAATGGAAGGATCATCCACGAGTTGATAAGTTTTGGTGAGGAACGGCGTCGGAAGAGTCCTCTGAGACTCGCCTCCTCCTCCTCCTCCCCCCCCTGCGGTGGGAGATTCGCCGGTCTGTTCAACCGGCATTGGAGCCATAGAATCCAGAACTGCTTAATTATTCTTTATTTCACAGATCCAAATCCTAAAATTCAAAGTTAGAAAATAAATAGAAGGGAAAAAATAGTAGTTAACATATATTCTCGAAATCAAAATACCTCCTATTAGTACTACGATTTATCGCAAAAACGAACATGATAAACATAACAATAACGATGTGAGTTTTGTTTTACAAAACAAAGGGAAAAAGAAGGGACAAACTATAAAAAATTTTAAAATTAGAAGATATACAGATATATGAAGGAAAAAAAAAAGGTGGAAGAATCTTATCTTACAAGGAGAGATAGAGAAGTATTCAAGAGCGTTAAGGTTTCTGAACGAGAAGCAATCTCCAAAACCACGGCAGCAGCTCAGAAATCATTTGACGGAGTGAAAGATCAGAGAGAAGATAAGCGTTGGAGGGTGGTTGTGCTGTTTTTTCTGGATCTTTTTTTCCTTTTCTGTGTTTTATTTCTAGAAGGTTCTGGAGGAGCTGTTCGGAAGAAAGGCGAAGGAAAAGACACGAAACAAAATAATTAATATTGAGTTTGTTTTGGGCCTTGATGTTGCGGGGTGGCTTGGAGATGGAATTTGACAGGAGCCAGAAAGAGAAAAGAGATGGAATGAAAATTAAAATGGGTAATTGTGGGACCCGGTTAGTATAGGGTAGGCTGTGAGAGGGATATTAGCGTGCTTTTGTGACTGACTCAGTAATAGCCTTCGAGAAAGTTCTGGTCAATTCCGTAATTTTCTTAACATTATTTATGAATTAATTTTTTATATATTAATAATGTATACACTATTAAATTTAAATTAATATTAAAACCCACACACGCCGTTATATTCAAGAATTATTCTCTTTCTTCTATAAATTTTTCAGTTATATATATACACACACATTTATACATATATATATATATGTATATATTAGTAGGCTTTTCTCTTCTTCTCGATGAATATTTTTTTTAAAAGCCTTGTTTAAAATGTAATTTTTTTCCTAAAGATTTTTTATATTTTTTCTAAATATATTTATCAATTAATTTTTTATCTTGCATGCATCAAATCATTTAATTCAGAAGATAAGTTGATGTCAATTGATGTAAAACTAATGATTTGAAATTTTGGTCGCTAAAAAAAATCTATGGATGGAACAAGGATTCATTTTTCCAATACAATGGGTTTTACTTGGAGGAAGGGAAGTTGCGTGTCCGAAATCAGAAATGTCATGGCAAGCTTTATTAGTACTAGCATTCTAATCGTGTTATGCATGGATTTATACTTTAACCCTCAAATTAAAGAGTTAAAATTTGAAGCAAAAGAAAAAATTCTTATAACTTTCCGTTAGTTTTACACTTTTAAAATATATTTATATTTGTATCTTCGAAATAAAATCACTCGATTTAGTTATTTGCTATATAATTTTAGATTGAATGGTGTCAAGCTCTTTTTGAAAAAGTTTATAATTGATTCCATACTCATCCTCCAGTTCACAAGATAAATTTTGAAGCAAAAGGAAAAGAATCCATAACCTGCAATTTGGTTTAATATTTTTAGAATATATTTACTTTTTGCCTCCCAAAATATGACAATTGTATAAAACCAAGAATGGAGCATAGTGGCTGCAAGTATTGGCATCGAAAAATATAAATAAAAACTAATAATATCTTACAATACCCCTAGTAATCATAAAAAAAAAAAGAAATATATTTAGAATATAAAAAATGACATAGTAGTGTTACATATTTACATATGAAGAAAATAATAAAAATGCAAAAAATAGTAAATAATACACAGGATTATTCTTATTGAATGAATTTTACATTCTTATTCAAGCTGAATTAGGGTGAACTTTAGATTATATATATACAAATTTGGTAGATATTATTTATGGTCAAATGTTATTATATATTCATCTTAAACTATATCGTTATTTTTTTTATTGTTTTTGTGAGATTAGTTTTTTTAATTTTTTACCAAAAATAAAATTCTAAATAAAAATTTCCAATTTAAAGGACCAGTATGAATTTTTTTTTTTAAATTTAGTGATTTCATAATTTAGGTTTCAGGAATAGTATGCTATTGATTTTTAAATCTATTACTAATGAATATTATTTGGATGGGGCTAAATCCACACTCCTCAATCTAAATCTACACTCCTAGCATTAAGATGACAATAAACTCCACAGGAGTTCAATCCAAAAACTTGTCTTTCATATGACAAGAGATGTTTAAAAAATCAATTACAAATTTTAATTAATTGAAATTATTTGATACCATCGTCCTAATTATTGATTTGATAGTGTTTCCTAAAATTATACTTCATTCAACTATGAAGTGCAACGTGCCAAAAAGGTTAAAATATTTTCTTAACACAATTAAAAAAGTTCTCACCTCCTTACATGATAAAAAGAGATAAAAATGTTATCTCCACTAAATAAGATGCCATCAAAGTGAATCAAAAAAATTTGTTAGAAATTTTGAGACTATTCGCAGTGATATAAATTTGAAATCCAAATTAGCACCATCTATTTTCACTAAAAAAAGACAAAGTCTTTTTTATTGAAAAAGTTTCTATCAAGCCCCATAAATGCTATGGATTTTTTCATCAGCTTGGTTATAAATCGCTTTGTATGGATTACTATTTTTTCCAAAATGATTTTTAGGTTCTGAGTAAACGCATCTTTCAATTACTTTTATTTCATATATATTGATTCATTATAATTTAAAAAAAAAAGAAAAGAAAATAACAATCCAAATGAGAATCTTTTTCTTTACTGGATGGGTTTAGCTTGTATTATGGAAGCCTTATGAAGATTTAGAGCCACCTTTAAATTTTTTTTTTCCTTGGGGATTGAGAAGCAAAATAATCAAGGCTTAAGCACGTATTAACTCTCCAAATGTGATCAATCAAATTTCCATTCCAAGCCTTTTGTAACGAATAATCCATAACCGTGTTACCAACGTGTGGATTTTGATCGTGGAGCTATGCATTTAGCCCCACCTGTATTATTTCTTTTGTATTTTTTTATATAGCTTATCATTTTAGTTAGGATTACCAAATTGAAGATTATAATATTGTTATTTATTTATTTTTTTTACTTTTAATTGGACTAATGATGTTTCATCTCTTTTTACCCTCATATGAATAAACTCCAAATCAAATTCCTTTATAGACACTTCTTACATTTTAAATTCAAAAGGTATTAAGGAATATTTAATAATTAAAAAAAATTCAAAATTCTATTAAAAAAAATAATAAGGAGTTAGAATCTTTATGATTTGATTATCCTACTCGTCAATATCATCAACACTAGGTGTGCGATGGTATTCAAAGTTGTAATTGGCTATTTTGACAGCTACTTAAAAAATAAACCTAATTGTTAAAAAGCGAGTGAACTTGAACAAACAAAAATGAATTTTCTTTTTTCATGTCGGAATAAGTGATGCACGAGTTTTTCTATATAGCACACAACTATATGCAATTAAAAAAAATAAAAGATAAATTATCTTTTGAGTTTTATTATTTTTTTTTTTTGAATAAGCATGTTATGAATTTCAATTTTCATTAATAAATGAACTCGTATGCAAAATCACTCAATCAATTGAGTTTGAGGAAGGTGCATTTCCTGTAAATGTGATAACAATAACATGATAAATGAGATGACAACAGCATAATGTTTTCACTTGAAATTGTAAAAATTGGGCTATTTAAAAGAAAACAAAAAATAACACTATTTAAAAGCCTCCCCAGCAGTCAACAAACGAAAATTGGATGAGAATGCATGACAATTTTCACGATGGGGCAATAGTCGAATATATTCAGATATCATGGACACATGTTAAAAATAGAGAATTGAATTCGTTACCACTTGCTCGTGCGCGCGATCGTTTTAGCCTTGAGGCCCCTTGACAACGTTTCGTCTTTGTAAGTTGTAACTGCAGCATCGCCCGGTGCCATGTACTTCTACTAGAGGCGACTTGGACAGGAGGTACTTTACTGATTCCCCCACCCACCCTCTCCTTCCCCCCCCCCCCGGCATTCCCGCCGGAGTCCCAAAAAGTTCTAGTTTTTGTGGGATTGAGATGCTCAATGCTAGCACTATTATATGCAAAGTGCAGTCTTGGTAAATGATTTTTGCTGCGTCGTCCTCCACCTGTTTGGGCAAATGCCACAATCATTTATGCTTGGCTTCAGGCAACATTGTATTCAGAATTTCGTGCCCTGCGTTTATAAAGATCAGAGTTTTGTAACTTTTTAGTTGTAGCTTCACTTGTCTATGTTGAGTAGTTTCAGTCAAATTTTGGACTGAAAAAACTTCGTGAAGTAAGCCATTGAAGGTTCGTTTTACTGAGCTATTGAAACTTATTGGCTAAGCATACTTGAAACGTTAATCAATTGGATGCTTTTGTCTACCGGTTTTGGAAAAGAGACAAAAACGTAGCGACTACTGAACATAGCCCACCTAAGGTCTTTCCTAATCTTGCTTATGGTTCCCATCGCCTTCCCCTTTCTTCCTTCCCGTTCTTCTGCATTCCAAGAAATTTGTTTTGAAGAAAAGGAACAGAATGGGAAGATTGCTGAATGATATATGAGTGAAGTTTTTAGGTGCATTGATATGTTTTCACTTTGATGCTGCGTTTTCAGCGAGTTAATGATTAGCTAATTCATGACTTCTGAGCCCTGCATCTCTGCTGTTTAAGATTGAGTTTTCTTTCATTAATAAATTTGCTTGTAGCTTCATTGATTTTTTTGCTGTTTAGATGGCTGATTTTTAGCTGTTCTTACTTCTTTAGGTGGTGGCAATTGAAAGGCTTTGAACTCCTTTTGTAGTTGGATTGAGTGTAATGAGTTGACTACATCCTTGCTTGCTAGAGAGGGACTTAGAATGATGCCAGCTTTAACAGCAACAAGGTCATGCTTTCTTGTTGGCAATTATCTGTCATTAAGAATATTTTCTCGGCTTCAGAAGTCAGTTTCATTTCATACAAGTCTTCCAGTTTTCAGTAAGGTTGGTCACGAGACTGAACCTCTTATGCTAACAAGTCTCGGACTGAAGAGTGAAACTGAAACAACTACTGGAAATGAGAAAAATAGACTCCAGCATGGGGTTTCTACACTAGAATTCCCAAAAAGTAAGAGGAAGAAAGTTGGTAGTAATAGAGAAAAGTTGGTTGCAGCTAAGAAGAGTCCAGACATTCCGGCAGCCCCTTTTGCTGCTCAATCTTTTTCTGAGCTTGGCCTTCCTCCTTTGTTGGTCGACAGGTTGGAGAAGGAAGGATTTAAGGTCCCAACTGATGTTCAAGCTGCAGCAATTCCCACAATTCTAAAGCGTCGCGATGTTGTGATTCAGTCTTACACTGGTTCAGGGAAAACATTGGCATATCTTCTGCCCATTTTATCTGGGATTGGCCCACTGAAGGAAGATTCTTCAACTTTTGATGAGCCTAAGATCAAATCAGAGATAGAAGCAGTTATTGTGGCTCCTTCCAGGGAGCTGGGGATGCAGATTGTGAGAGAAGTTGAGAAACTATTAGGACCTTCTGACAAGAAACTGGTTCAGCAACTTGTAGGAGGTGCGAACAGATCAAGGCAAGAAGATGCCCTTAAAAAGAACAAGCCGGTCATTGTAGTTGGGACACCAGGACGAATTGCAGAGATAAGCACAGCTGGAAAGCTTCACACTCATAGCTGTCGATACCTGGTCTTAGATGAAGTTGATGAGCTCCTTGCTTTCAATTTTCGGGAGGATATGCATCGGATTTTAGAGCATGTCGGAAGACAATCTGGTACAGGTCAACAAGGTTCTAATAGATCTCAGGGTTGGCAGCCTGAGCGTCAGACAATCATGGTCTCTGCTACAGTGCCATTTTCTGTGATAAGGGCAGCTAGGAGCTGGGCAAATGATCCACTCCTTGTCCAAGCCAAAAGTGTTGCCACACTTGAATCTGTCTCTTCCGCTGGACCCATTAATTTTCCAGGGACTACTTCCAACTCAAGTTCAAGCTCAAACTATCAGAAACTGCCAGCAGTTCAGAGCCTACCACCTAATCTTCAACATTATTTCTTTGTTACTAGGAAACAACACAAAGTTGATGCGTTGAGGAGATGTGTGCATGCTTTGGATGCTAAGTCCAGCATAGCTTTTATGAATCACACTAAACAGCTAAAAGATGCTGTTTATAAGCTGAAAGCTCGAGGGATCAAAGCTGCAGAATTGCATGGAGATTTAAGCAAACTGGCCAGATCAACCATCCTAAAGAAGTTTAAGGATGGGGAAGTTAGAGTACTGCTAACAAATGAGCTTTCAGCTAGGGGTTTGGATGTGCCAGAATGTGATCTTGTAGTTAATCTGGAATTGCCCACTGACTCGGTTCATTATGCACATCGAGCTGGCCGAACAGGTCGACTTGGCAGAAAGGGTACTGTTGTCTCCATATGTGAAGATCCAGAAGTATATGTTGTGAAGAAATTACAGAAGCAACTTGGTATCCTCATTCAGGGTTGTGATTTTACAGAGGGCAAACTTCTTGTTACTGAAGAAGAAAAGATGCTAAAATCTGTAAGGCAGTGAAGTAATAGAATTTTCAGTAAATATCTTATAAGAGAATTATTGACAACATTGTTTTGGTTTTGTTTTTGCTTGTTTCTTTCGACAAGAAGTTGCAGGTATTTTGTAAGGCTACTTAATTGAATCTGTTATTAAGGCTTAACTGATTTTTCGTTTCAAAGAACGTCTTTTGGGTAGTTCACATACAGACATACATGCATACATAACTGTTCAGCATTTACGTGTCTAAATAGAAGTCTTGTTAGAATTCCTGTGTACATAAATGCTCGGTAATCATCATAGCTAGAGTCTGCTTTGCTTTCCTTCTTCTTTGATGATGGAGCAGGCTGTGAGAGAGCGGAGACAAAAGAAAGAAGCAGGGCCAGCGCCTGGAGAACGAGACTGTGGACGTCCATCTCTGAGTCGTCGAAGCAACTGAATATGAGAATGGCGATTTTGGCAGAGGCGGCTGTGCTGGAGAGTTGGATGCAAGAGTGGATACTTTCGCCACGCCCCACCGGTGCACACAAGAAAACACTAGACTGCCGCTTTCTTTCATTTCCTTCTCTCTGCTCTCTGTTCCTTTTACAAGTTGAGATTCCTTTCGCTTAAAGACACAATTTTGGTTTTGTATATGTTCAAAAATAAGGTCAATAAGGACGATGTGGGGAAACAATTGTGTACTGGGGCTTTTGGTTGATTTTAATTCCCAAGTTACATTTGGAAATGCTTATGTAAGTAGAGTTTTGATCATTTCTGTACCCCAGTAGTTTGCACGCATGTACTGATTAATGGCAGTTGGTTTAGTGTTATATTGTTTGTCAATCCAGCCGTGCTGCATGAATTTTTGGGAAATGGCGTGGTTAGCTAACTTACAAGACGAAGGACCACATGCACGTCAACTCTTCAATGAGTTTATAGGGGCTTAACACCGGAAATAAGTTCGACAGACAAGCAAATGAACATTTGATGATAGATATCATCCAATGGTTAAGGTCTTTAATTCTTTTTCCCTGGGATGTGTAGTTTTGACTCTCATCCTTTCATTTTGTTTTTCTTCACTAATTAGTGCTTCCCTTTTAAAAAACAAGGTTGAAAATAATAAGAAAATATCATACACCTTCATTGAGGTTTCTCATAATATCACTTACACCCTTAAAAGTTTAAAAGTAATCACTGACCTCCCCTAATAATTACAATTTGACACAGAATGCACATATCAAATAAATGGAGCTCAAAAAAAAAAAAAAGTCACTTTCTTCTCTTTCCCTTTTCTCCAATATTCTCCTTTTTTTTGGATGACTATACAATTTTTTATTTATAAATTACAATAAATTAAAATTTATTTATCTTTTATTTTTTTGTGATTGTGATGGAATGGGGTATGATTTCTTTGTTTATTTTGAGTTGATTTTTTTTAACGATTAGTACAATTTAAAGGTTTGGACCATGAGTTGAGAAAAAGTTGGGAAAAAAAAATATAAGATTTATAATAAATCGATTTTGAGCATAGAGCGTCAAATTGGTGCTAATGTTTTTCTTTACAAATATTTTTTTATTTTCTAAATTTATATTTTTATGGACTATAATTTTGTGATGTGATGGTACTACTAAAAATTGTTTTTTAGGTGATGATTTTTCTTAGCATAAATAAAGTGATTTATGAGTATTTTTATTCAATAAAAATGAGCAAAAAGGCAGTTTAAAATTTTTAAAAATTTTGTCACACAAATAATAAAAATAATGAAGGTAAGTGACATTTTTAATACCTTAGAGGCGCTACGTGATATTAAGAGAAACCTCAGGAGAGGTTTCTAATATTATCCCAAAAAAAATTTAGAGAAAGGGTTGGTAACTTGGTATAAATAAGGATTAATTGATATTGATAACAACATGTGCTTAAACGCTGCAGGAGACAATTTTTCCTGTGACTGTTCAGTGTTAACTTATATACAGATAAGCAACACAATTAAATTTAGGTAACTGCAGAATTAAGCCCAGAAAATGATCAGAGTGGAGATCTGAAATCAGAGTTGATTTTCGAGTAGATTTTGCTTCGTTCAATGAACAGAAGGACCATCACGGTTGAGTTGACTTTGCTTCCAAATATTCATAGTATTAACACAATGCTAGGAATTGAACAACTACTACTGATAAAGTTGGGATAAAGAGGTATCAAGAGTCAAGGCTTGCCCTCGTAACCCCATGGATTCAGGCTTGCCCACTTCCACTGATCGCTGCACATATCATCTATGTTGTACTTTGCCCTGAGGAGAAATTACAATTAGCTGTTAAAGACTCGCGTAGCATGATATGCATAAACCGAAAGGTGGAGGCATCATTACAATACTAAACAAACACGAATGCCTGTCTGTCCAAGAAAAAGAAAAAACATCAGATTCTTGTTGAAATTCTTATAGCATCGTATGGTACAACAATTAGCAACTGGGATGTAAACATTTTCCCTTTTAGATTCAAGTTTTCAAACAAATACAAAGCAACTAGGAGGAACTACAAGAAATGAGGTAATCTCGCAGCCAGAGAGAAGGAAAGTGTATCAGAATTTGAACGACTTAGTTGTTTTCATCACCAATGTAATGCAACATAGTGCAAAGCAACTTACTTCCAACCAAGCTGTTTCTCAGCTTTCTCTGTTGATGCATAAACTGCAGTGGCATCTCCTGGCCTTCTTGGACACAGTTTGATGGGGATGTCCTGAAGGAAATAAAGTAGTGCAAAAGTCAGAAGCAGCTTGAACATTTACCAGATATGCATTCATGCCTTGCATTTGCCTGTTAGCTGTTATTTGTGTGCGAGTGAGAGCGCGCGTGCGCGTGAGAGAGAGAGAGAGATCACCTTTCCAGATGCTCTTTTGAAAGCAGCAACCATTTCGAGGACAGATGTACCTTGGCCAGTCCCCAAGTTGTAAGCATGACAACCTAATATGCAATGTTCATCAGAAAATGTAAAACAAAGTGAAACAAAATCTCAAAATGGTCATCTTCTAAAATCACATTAATACTATTACATATTGGCTCATAAAAAGCAGTGATTAGTTTTAATTGCATCCAGCAATAATCTTTATATACAGAAGGATCTACGGACCTTTAAAATCCATTCGAAAAAGCTTCTGCAAGGCAGCAACATGACCATCTGCCAAATCCATCACATGGATATAGTCTCGTATCTGCTAACCAAGAAACTACTTAGCTTTTGTACAAAACGTTAAGCCTTATAAAAGGCAAGTTTATTTTAGAGCAAGATAAGTGCCAAATCATGATATCAGGTGAGTTCACTTACTGCACTACCATCAGGTGTGGGATAATCATGACCATAAACATTTAACTCAGGTAGTCTACCAACAGCTACTCGTTCTATGTAAGGCATGAGATTGTTTGGGATACCCTTAGGATCTTCTCCAAGCCTACCACTCTCATGAGCCCCAACAGGGTTGAAATATCTTAGCAAGATAATTTTCCATTCTGGATCTGCCTTTTGAATATCTCCAGCAATTTCTTCCAGGAATAGCTAGAGTACAGGCAGAAAACCAAATAGTATAAGTACTTCTGCCATTCTGAACCAGAGACAGGAAGACTGCTTTCATGAAGTTCTAAGCAGACGACTATATCACCAAACTATAAGGCGATCTATGAGAATACCTTTGTGCGGCCATAGGGATTCATAGCCTTCAAATCAAAATCTTCAACACATGGAATTTTTTCAGGTTGGCCATATACAGTGGCAGATGAAGAGAAAACCAACTGCATACAAAAACAATCAGATTAATAACATAAACAAAAGACCAACTGTTAAAACACATTAAGCAAATTAAGCGACACTAGGCATCTTCTATGCTAGTATATCAAATGAACTAAGTTGATGCCTCATTTCATACGACAAAAAGAAACCAATTCATGCAAGCTACCTTTAAAGTGAGGACGCAAGAAAGAACTCCCAATTTAAAATGCATCATCAAACAGGGGATACTGAATGTTGAAATTAAATTTCCAAGAATAAATATCTTGTTAAAATTCTCCCAAAAAAAAAAGAATATGATAGCTTTGAAAAAATCATAAAATTCCATCTAGGCACCATCCTATTCCCCCTTCTCATCTATCTCTTCGGTCTAAGTTGTAAGTAAAGGAATATGTGAACAAAAAAGGGAAAACCAAATGCACACACAGCATACCTTCTTGCAATTGTACTTTGCCATGGTCATGTACAAATTGATTGATCCAGCCAAATTGTTGTCAAAATAGCGCATAGGATAAGCAACACTCTCCCCAACAGCTTTCAGGCCAGCAAAGTGTATAACAGCATTAAACCTGATCAAAAACACCAATGTACCCCTAATTATATCATAATATACAAAGGCATATGCAACAGAAGATTAAAGCAAATGTGAAAAGGAATACAAGTGTCAAATTCATTGCAACAAGCAAATTACTTTCGTTTATACACAAAATGAAATATACATTTCACCTACTTGTTTTTTGAAAATATCTCCTCCAAATCCTCCTTATTTCTAATATCACCCTGCAACCACGTAAAACATGACCAAGATTCAAGATTAAACACCCCTCACTTCGAGCACCAAAAAAAGAAAAGAAAAGAAAAGGACAACCAAATTTTCTTTGATAAAGAAAAAGTTTTCTTCAATTGTTAGGACTAACAAGTATTCTGCAAAATTTAAAACCCATATAAAGAAACCGATAATACCCTGTTCAAAGAAAAACTTAAGAACATATATGCAACACTAAAAATTCCATCATTTCTCGAAACATAAGGAACTAATAATAAAACAAAAGACATAAGCTTGCTCAAATACAAACTAGATACAGTTCAGTGCTATTAAAAATCCATCACTTCTTGAAAAGAAGATTAAAGATAGAAAAAGGAAACCCAAGACACAAAAACATGGAATGGGTCATGAAGAGTAAGCATACCAGATAGAAATCAAGATTTTTAGACAACTGGGGTCCCGCTAACTCTCTTACTCGAAGAACAGCCTCTTCGACGGAGTTATCGAGGTTGTCAATGATTGAAACCTTAAAACCTTCTTTCAATAGCTGCAGAACAGTATGAGTTCCAATGAAACCAGCCCCTCCTGTCACCAAAATCCTATCTTCCACTCCCACGGCCATTCTTTCACAAGTAAAGCAAAAAAGAACCCTTCTTGTCCTGTGAAAAACAAAAAAGTGTCTGAAATGGGGAGGCTTGAAAAGGGTTCAAGAGTATAATACTGGGAAATCGATGGAAATGGAAAAAAATAGTATGAAGAAACTGAGATATCTGTTCGAAGCAACGGATAAAAAGATGAGCCAAGGCACAGAAATTAATGGGGAAAGATACGCAAGCATGTAGGACTAGTACTTAGAGGTATATATATACTATATAGTAGTGTATTAGTTGAAAAACGTGAAGGGACAAAAAGATGAGCATGACTCATGATGATGCTGTAGCGGTGGGATGGATAACGGATGAAAGCTGTATCCTTTTCAGTCAATTTCCAAAAGGGGTTTTGTTTTTCATATCACGTAAGTTCCCAGATTAGATGGGTTGGCGGGATGTTGATGTCAGATGCTGTGAATGAGTGGAGGGGTTGGGCATAAACTACAGCTATGGCTTCTTGACAACTGATTAGGAGTTAAGATGCGGAGAATTTACACAAATGATGGCTAATTCCTATGCCTACCTTCTTGCCGAACCTTTGGTTTTTTATTGGTCTGTAGAGGGAATTGTGGAAAATTTGAATTTATTGCAAGCCGAAATTGATGGGATGATGCCTATATCCGAGTTTGGGTAATCTTGGGTGTTAGCTAACACCTCATGGTAACTAGTTAATTAGTTTTAAAAAATAAAGCATTGTTTAGATGGTAAGTTTTTGGAGTTTTTATTAAAATATATAATGTGAAAGTGTGATGTGATGTATGTAAGGTAAAAAAGTAATTAAAAATGTCAAAAGAATTTTTTCGCGAAAATTCATATTCTAAACAATTTTTAGTTTGTAATATATATCTATTAGAGATTTAAAATCCTTCTATGATATCCTGGAATATGATTCGATTTTTATCATCGAACCAAAGGAGTTGTTTGGATTGCATAATCTAGAAAGTTTTTGGCGAAAAAAATCATTATAATATTTTTTAAAATATTATGTATGAAAAAAGGTGGTTGAAAAATGCGTAGAAGAAACATTCTCAAAAGATTTTTAAAAAATTCAATATGGCAATCCTAACAAGAATATTTCCAAGTAATATATGATGAAGTATCGGTCCAATCTTTGTAGTCAACATCTCTTAGATGGATAGAATAAGTTTGTAAATGTGAATAAATTTATGTTAAGTGCAAATTAACCCAAAAAACCCATGTGTTTGTCCATTAGAGGAAAAAAAGGTGGATATAATTAGTTTGTAAATGTGAACAAGTTTATGTTAAGTGCAAATAAACCAAAAAAAAAAAAAAACATGTGCTTGTCCATTAGAACGAAAAAAAGGGAATTTGAAAGTCAATTTTTTACACATACGTCAAGAATTCAATGATAATAGTATATACACTGTCAGTATATATAAACTTTACTCTTAACGTATGTCATCTCCAACTTCTGAAACTGCGACTAAGAAAAGTATGAACCGAATCCTGGAAAGATTAAAGCATTTCCATTTATGGTCGAACAAATTTTTCATTATATTTAAGGATTAATTTTATATATGCTGTCAGTGTATACACTATGACCATTAGATATATATCACATATACAAAATTTGAATTTGAAATTCTAAATTTGCTCATGTATATGTATACACTGACAGTGTATATAAAATTTACTTTATGTTTAAAGGGTATGAATTTATTACTTCTAAATAGTACATATATGCTTTAGAAAAAAGAAATTGGTCATTGGTATAGGATAAAATTTTGTGCGTCAAAGTTAAATTTTCTCAAAATTAGGAGTGAGTGGTCGACGACTTGTAATCATTTTGAAACACACATATCGAGGAAACAGATAGGACTAATAAGTAATGGTTTAAATTGAAAAAAAAAAAAAAAAAAGAAGTACAAAACACGTAGTATAAGTAAAGAGAGAGAGAGAGAGAGAGGGATAGTTGCTTTATTGGCTTGATTAAATTGCTTTAAGCAAGAATAAATAGCTAATTAATAATCATAAGATTGAAGTAGTAAAAATAAGAAAATAAATAACTGTAGGATTAGAATACATGACATCAGAAATCAACAAACTCCACCTTTGGTTATGTGCACATCTCGCGTGCACGACTATGTAATTATGAAATTGGAGGCATATGGGAAAAGTAAAAATGGCATGAATACATGAATCTCTGCGGACAAATGAAAATGGTAAAAAAAATAAACCGATATGAAAATGATTTGGTGCACTTGACATGAAAATTGGAAGAACTTCATTTCTTCTCTATTTGTCTTCCCGGTTATGTGTACTGAATCTAAGCATGACATTTGGTCTTGAGTCGAAGATTATTTTCAGGTTTTACTTGTTTCAAAATTTTACATTTCATATAGGTAGGTATGGTGAAGCCCTCTCGAATGATTTCGGAGTAGCCTGTTCTGAGGTCGTGTGTTTGAATTACCTATTCTATCGTTCTGTGTATTCTTGAAAGATAGATGCACAAGCATAGAAAAATTAATTCGACAAAACTGAAATACTTCCTGCATCGTCGACACAAAAAAAAAATATAGGTACGGTGGAAAGCCTCTCTATTAGCTATTAGCTATAGTAGACTTGGGATTCCTTTCGATTGCGTAAAGGTTGTCCTAACGCCTAAAAGCAGGATGCAACTTGTGGACCATTCTTTTTAATTTAATTATCACGGTTCGTTGTTCGTTGCACCCGACAGCAATTAATTACCTATATTGAGAGGCAGCCCTCAGAATTATGAGCCAGTGCCAACAATAGACCATCTGCAAACAGCAAGTACCTTATTTGAGTGGACAGACCTAAAAATCAAGACCCCACGAGCTGCAATTTGCAAAATAAGCTGAATTTGATCTTAATTTATTGGCCACAGATAAAACTGCAGAACCAACACATATACAGAGTAAATATCAATCCACAGACATTATCCAGGAAAACTTGAAAAAAACAAAAGAAAGACGACGTATTCAATATTCTTCACCTTGGTATACTATGAAGGGCTTATTGGAGAAGAGAAGCCTAAGAAACTTCTCTAATTATTAAAGACAGTTTCTAAGGTTCCATGAAACTAGACATGCCTCATCCCCGGGTCAAATTTTATTGCAGTCATTTTCCAATGGAAACTGAAACTATACTCGAGTAAAGATCAAGTTTTGCCTCTTGCAAGCACAGGGAAACCGAGGAAACAGGAAATCTACTTCTTCTGCTCAGTCTGATACCAAGTTGCTGGTTGTTTCCTCGTCCCAGTTGCGTTTCACTGGCACTACCACTATGAAACTAACTTCTTAGAGATCGCCTTGTTCCTTGTATGGCATTTGCTGCTGCTGGATTTGTTAGACCTGTAGAAAGAAACTTGTTGGTAAGATCTATCATCGGTGTGGATGGTGGAAAGTAGACAGATTTAGAACACGAAAAATACGAACTTTAGGCTTTTACACTAGACTGCTTGTCTAAACTTTATTTCTCCAAGAAGCATTTTTCTCTATTTGTAACCTATCCTTAAAACTATTACATCCGATTCAATTCAACTGCAACTTTGTAAAACTATTATATCCATGCGGAATCATACAAACAATTTGAATGCAAACTGACCTTTCCAGTAACTGTGAGTATGTCCACCAAATTAGGCCAAAACTGTTCTTCCTGAAGTTCATTTTTATGTCACCATATATTCAAACCTACGACAAGTTAAAAAAAAAAAAACAAATGGTATTTACAAAAAGGAGAGAAAAAGAGAAGTTCCAATACTAACCAATTAAATTCTTTTAAGGAGTCAAATTCATTTTTCCTCCAGAGTTAAGTGCAGATGATGATGCAGAGATAGGGGTGGAAAACCTAACAGCAGTAGATTCCCATTCCCTATCAGAAGCGAAATCCAATCGTCTTTCTAGAGATCTTCCAACAACTGATGTTTCAGATTTGTAAGTGTTGGAAACTGAAGTGCCCTCCAATTTTGATGAGCCTGTGCTATTTATCTCCTTGCTCTGAGATGAAGATGAGGTTGTATTTCTAGGGTTTTTGCAACAAGAGGCTTCATCCCTGGCTTCTCTTGAAATTTTCTTTCTTATAATTGATGGAGTATTCTTGTAACTCATAGCAGAGTTTCTCAACAAAGACTCTGGACTGCTACTACTGTTACCAGAAATATTTAGCACTAAACTAGGAGGGGTAAAGTACAATAGCCGATGTTTGGAATGAGTGGTGTGATTGTCTAGACTGATAATCCCATCACTTTCAGCCGAGACTAGGTCTTGACATTGAGGTGGATCGTAACACCAAAAGCTGGACAGCCAATGATCCTGACAAGGTGTAGTTTTACAAACTTTGTTTTTCTTGCTAAGCTGACCATTATCCTTACTATATCCATAACTTGACAAACTTAAAAAGTCAGTATTTGGTAAGAGGCCTGACACATGCCTGGTCCTCTTAGGAGATTCAAAGATCCTCTCACACTTATCAGGAGAAACGGCAGAGGAAAAAGCATAACCTGGTTCAAAAAACATTGCACTAAATCATGTGATAATTCGAAAAAGGAGATATATAGAGAGGATTGAGTTTTCTCAGAAAAATCCTCTTGCCTGGCGAAGGATTGCCATGCATATCTGCGGGAACAATTTCCGTGCCACCAACTTTGAACCCACCAAGTGAATTTATTAGATTGCCTACCCCTTTGTCTGAAGATCGCCAGGTCCCATGCAGATGAGTTTTTGACTCTAGATGGTCCATATGAAAAATAGTGTTTCCAAGAGATAATTCTGTTGAACAGACATGAGCAACATTTTCCTGACCCCTTTCCTGACCAAGGTCACTTCTTTCACGAACTTTCTGGGACAACAACTGATGCTCAATGGAACTTGTTCTCTTTTGAGTAATGCAGGAACCATCAGAAGTACTCCCCTGTGAATCCAGCTCAGAGCAACAAGGCAAGTTCAAATCGAACTTTTTCTTTGCTGAGCAGTTCCAGTGATTTTTTATTGCATTATCAGTCCTGTCAACAACCCAAAGAGGTGGAAGGGGCATGAGATCAATAAAGCATGATATGGTTTTGGTTTATGTAACACAAAAAATTTGCAAACTTCTAATAGTGTTGCTGGGAAGGGGCGGTTTTACCACACTTTGACAGAAAATCTAACTTAATAATGCATACGTAATGCATACTGTCTAATTCAAACTTGCACAGTAAAAGATTTAGAATGCTAACCAATGATATTACTAATCAAAATTTTTATCATGCACTTTACATGAGTGCAAGAAAAGGCAATTTTAGCGTCAAGGAAGTCTGTCTCATGATGGACAAACAATGTCATTGATTTCTATAGGCATTTTATCCCACCAAAAAAGTAATATTTTTAACAAAATTACTATGTAATCACATATCAAATGCATGATCAACCATGCTAACGAAAAATTTAACCCCATACCACAGAGGCTCAGAAAACATCAGGAAATCCAAATACTTGATCTGTTTATTCCAAGAGCTGCATTCATTACAAGTAACGTAAAAACTCTACCAGCAGCAAGCTTGTTAGATTTGAAAACACTGCATTTAATCACCGCTAAGAACCTGAAGGACATCTCACACGTCACTCATTTATTGTTAAAATTGGGCAGAGTTTACATGTTTAGATTGATTACATAGCTCTGATGTAAAATGTGCTACGATCACAGAAATCAAAGTTTGAAATTCCAAGTGAAGGTGTCAATAGATACCTTCCAGGAAGAAACCTGGCTATTTCTGCCCACTTGTTGCCATATATTTGGTGATAATAGGATAGTATTGCTTCTTCCTCTTCAGTCCATGCATCCTTCTTTATTGCAGGATCCAGATGGTTGTGCCACCTGAAATTACATATGACTTCAAAAGATTGCATACATACCAGTCTTAGGGATATATGCCCATTGACACTAGAATATTCATGGACTTTTCTCATTCGGCTAACGAAGAAATCGAGGTGCATACGTAATACATAATCCTTTTGGCCACAAAAGGGATAAAGGCCTCTCTCTTTCAAAACTCAAAGAAATATTTCCAACTGTGTCACTTCTGGCTTTAGCTGCTGGAATCTACAGTGAATACAAGACTTGGAAGACCAGATGTATTTGTCAGCCTCAACTGTCAATTTCATGTGATTCAGCTTAAACTGCCGATACGGTCAAGGTCAATGCACAAAGGATAAACACAATTGACTTAACTTTAAGCAAGGCAGCTTGGCAATTCATAAAACCAATTGAGCAACCACCAAATTACATGACCTGAAAGGTCTCATATACACCGCAGAAAACGGATTTGCGGAATGAAATGGACCAACCAAGAAAACAACAAAACACTTTGAAACAAAATTTAGTTTGATTTGTGTCTACTATGTCTCTTGAGACCATTTTCTAATTGTCAATTTAACACTTTTACATGCAAAACTTAAAGCCAAAAGAATGAAACTTTTAAGCTATTCACCACATGAAAAGTTCAACAAAGGCAAAGAGAAGATAAATTTTTAAAAAAAAAGAAAGAAACATATTTCGAAAGAACAAAAAGCCAACGATCCTCAGCTCCCCATTCAGCAAATTGCTCATGGTGTTTATCAATAAAATGTCTCCACACGATGATAAATAGAAATATCTAGATAGCCGAATTGATTCTATAGAAAAATTAATAACTAACATCATCTACCTTTCCCTGCATTGCTTGCCAATTCGACCTGGCAAATACTTAGCGATAACAGACCATCTCTTGGAGCCAAATTTCTCGACTAACTGAATAATCCGTTCATCCTCCTAAAGGTTTGAAAAAGAAATTTAGACATTACATATCAATAACAAAAATAAATAGATAAATAAATGCATGTTCCTGCTTTGGATAGAAGTAAAGACATAATTTTAACCTCTTTTGTCCAAGGGCCTTTGACAAGTTCAGGATTTAGAACCTTCTGCCAGCGGTGCAAGCACTGAACATCGGTCCTTCCGGTGATGCATTCAGCTGTGCAAGGAGAAGACAGTCGCATTGATTTTTTTGCACTCTAAATTACTACAGGACAGATAGCATTACCTCATGGCAGTTACAAATTTTTGTGCAGATTGGCAGAAAGCTATCAAATTAGTGTGCTATTTACCTATTCTTTTCCAATTCCTCCCATTAAACCTCTTAACCACTTCAGCCAGCAGATTGTCCTATTAATACAACAGAAGTTAGACAGAAAAGCAGATCTGATATTGAGGTTAAAAATGGAAATTCAGGCATAGACTATCTCAAGGCATGCAAAATTCAAAATTTCCAGTATATAGCCGATGAAGAGATCAGATTCATTATGACATAATTATCATCCTTTTAAATTGTGTTTCACTCAATGGAAAACTTCTCCAACTAGCTTGTCAGAGAAATCTGAATCCATTAGAAAGAACTTGACATGAGAAAAATCAAACCTTAATTAGCATCTTATTTTTCTAAATACATAATTAGCTACATCTTAGGTATTTCGCATATTGGATACGGCTTCTACAGGGTCAAAACTCATACTAGTCAGACAGTCCTTGAAAAATTCATCCATCAAATAAGCTGAAGAAATAGAAAGATTAGTCCTTTTTTAAAGTTCAAAAAAGGATAAAGAACTAAATTTAATAATCTACATCCATAGGACATTTGAGAAAAGTTGAAGTAATAATTGCCATCTACCAACCTCTTCATCTGTCCAGCCTGCCTGTGAAGATCGTCTTGTTGAAAAAGAAGTTGTTTGACTAGTGAAACTAGAAGCCAAAAATTAGAGAAAGTTAAATTTTGGTTAGCCCAATGAAAGTAAAATAACATAATTTACTGCCCAGATACATATTATTCATTCATATCATGGATGCTTCTAATAAATAACAGCACCTAGTCAACCATATAGAAATGATTTTACTAAAATAGTCATGGAAACCCTTTGATCAAATTTGGAAGCCTAAAAAGAATGCATCAATAGAACACTAGAGACATAACAGTCACAGAGTAACTTTGAACTTGATAATCTTACAGATAATCCTCGGCAATGTGGGATTCGGTCAGAAAAAGTAACTGAAATTGCAAGACCATAAACCCGTGCAACCCAACATGCAACATAAACCCACCTTGAATCAGAGGAATATCTTGGAGTTACACTATCATAGCTACTATCTGAAGCCGAAGAACATGAACCAAATCCAACTTCTTTCATTAAATCTGGACAACACGTAAATTCGACCATGATTTATTTGGCTACCAACTTTAACACAAAAACTGCAAAACAACACAGTTAAAATGCAGAGTGATCATGTATTCTCATTATGGTTAGTAGTTAACAAAATTTACTTAGAAAGATAGGACAAACAGAAAGGATCAAACATAAACACAACTGTTATTCATATTAAACAAATTCCCTTCTCATGATGGTAAGAAATTAACACGACTCACCTAGAAAGATAGACATCCAAAAGAAATAGCACACAAATGAAACCGTAATTGATCTAAAACAGATTCCCTTCTTATCATGGTAAGTATTACCACTATCCACCTATAAACTCAAACTAACCAAAAGGGATTAAAGATCAGTGAAACTGCAATTGGTCTTAAATATATTCCATTTCTCACCATGGTAAGTAATTGACATGATTCACCTAGAAAGTTAAACCAACCAAAAAGATTAAACACAAACAGAACCGCGATTCATCCGAACAGATTCGCCTTTTCATCATGATAAGCAATTAACAATATTTACCTTGAAAGAAACCAACATAAAGGGGATTACACGTAAAGAAAACCACGATTCATCTTAAATAGATCTCTTATTTCCATCAAGGGACAGAAGCTGCATGGTAGAAGTGAAGTGATCGCAGCAAATTCAAACAATTACATTATAATCAAAATTAACTTTTTTTAAAAATTTTGATGTAAGAAACATCATCATCTTCATCCCACTTCTCCAACATTTCTCAGTGACTAAACCTCAGAACATCAACAAAAGCATAACACAACTCAAGTTAGATGGTGCTGATCACATCCAAGTACGAAAACAAAACTATAAGAGAGAGAGAGAGAGAGAGTTAATCTTTCTCAATTAAACAATATCTAATTACAATTATAAAATATCAGAAAAACGCAAAAAAAATAAAGAAGAACAACCACAAAGCTACAAAATCACAACATTTCTTAGTGCATAGTAGAAAAGAATATAAAAAGTTTCACATTTTCCATGCTCTTTAACTAAAAGAAAGGCAAATAATCAAAACGTTTGGATAAAAAACAATTATTATGGTATCCTTTAACATTCCCTACATCTTTGTCAGCAGTCGAACAGATTAAACAAAACTCTGAACCAGAAAGCCATCAGAGAAACAAATTCAGAATTAGCATAAACCGAACAACACAAAAAATTAAGCGTCCAGATCAACAGCTTACATCCGTTAATCCCGAAGAAACATGAGAATTGTTCACATAAATAAATCAATAAAATCAACCGTTAAAATATACCAGACAAAAAGACATAAACAACAACAGAAGAGCCCAATGAACGACTTGAGGAAGAGGGATAGGGTTCAATCAACGAAGAGGAAGAGTAGAGGGGAGAGAGAGATATATATATTGCAGCAAGAGAGACAGAGAGAGAGAGAGTATTTGCAAGTGACGCGAAGTAGCGGGAAAGCACAAATAATAAAAACAAGAGTCCAAACGCAACTACTGTACTGATTCCACCGCTGTACCAGTATACTGTACTGTACGCTGTGAGTGAAGTTGTAACTGGTGAGTGCGTGAGTGTGTGTTTTTTACGGGGTAATTTCAGAAACCTCCTTTAGGTTTATTACAAAATGTCACGCAGCACCTCTAAAGTTTAGAAAATATCACTAACTTTCCCTATTTTCGAACATTTTTACCTTCCCTATTTAAGGTTTCTTTTTGTTCTTGTACAAGTTCCCTAACGGTTCAATTTCACGTAAGAATTGAGTAATGACTGAAGCTGTGTTTTCGTTCATTGTCTCCTTTTTTTAATTTTTTGGCTTTGTATTCTACTTCAAGTGTTCATATGTGTGTGTGTATATATATATATATATATATGAAAAAAAAAAAGATTACATATATAGGGAGTGATTACTTATTATCGACCACAATTAAGGACTTTATTTAAGGTTGAAACAGCTAATAAAGGTAAGATAATAAAACCAAAAAAAAAAAATCTTATATATACTATCTTATTTGTGAGTTAAGGCTTCATAAATATGATGAAGATATCTATCTTATATATACTATATAGGTTGTGTTTATCTTAGTATCTTGCATATTGTCAATCTTAACTTAATAATTTAATGGAATTAAAAAATCTTAAATATTATGAAAGCCTAATTCTGAGTTTTATCTTTCTCCTCCCCAGCACTCAAATCTATCAAAATTTTGGAGCATTAACCGTTATTGTTTCAACAGTTTCAAATTAAATAGTGTGGAAATTTCATATATATAAAACCTTCTTTTGTTTTTAAAGCATTCGATTAAACTGTAAAATAGGAAATACCGATTAAAAGGGGAAAAAAAATTGGACAGCACTTAAATGATCATGTAAATATAGACACTTGTGTTTATTATACCCTTTATTTTCGGACAAACACTTATCCATCCGACTCCCATAGGAAGTCTACTACTACTAGTGCATCTATTAAAATAATAAATTAGTTACATTTTGTAGAAACTCCTTTGCTTAATCCTCATTATGCATCCTAAGCTTCTTAAGGGCCAATTGCTCTCCTTCATATGTGAGATTAAGATTTATAATGATTATCAACTCCAATGTGTTATCGAATCAATCATTTCACTGTTACTCGTAGATTTGGATAGCAGGAGTAATGCCAATTTGATTGTTTAGAGCTTGTGTAAATAAAGTTAGATGTTTAAAATTAATAAAAATCACTTGTTCTAACTAGAGATACAATTGAATCAAGTCGAGTCGAATTCGAGCAGTGTACTATTCAAGTTCGATTTGAGTTTAAAAATTTGGACTCCAACTCTCAAAGCTCGATTTTATTTTGCTTTATTCGAGTTCAAACTCGAGGTCATGCAAATCAAGCCTAATCAAACTTAATTTTGTGTTCAATTGAGTTTAACAATATAATTTATATTTTATATAATTTTAAATAAAGAACAAATAGACATTTCATATTAATAAATTAAAAATAAAAACCATATATATGTATGTAAAACTCAATTGAACTCGATTAAACTTAATGAGCTTTCAAATTTCACATATTAGACTTCAGTTCAATCTGCTGCTCAAACTTTGAGTTTGAGTTCGAGTTTTGACTGAATAAGTTCTCGACTCATTTGTATCCCTAGTTCTAAGTTCTAATGATTAATGAATCTAAACCATAATATTTATTTGTGAAATTAATAGAATACTTCATATTAAGTATAATTTTGTTATTTGAATAATGTCTAACAAGTGGGATATATACCATCGAAACGTATTACTAACAACTTGGTTTAAATTTGCTTTAAATGAACCGTTTATATTATGTTAGGAATTTACGATGCGTAACGTACATTTTTTATTGGGGTGACAATAACATGGTCATTCTCGGTTTCTTAAACCTTAGCAGCCTGTGAAGAAGAAAGGAATTCGTTTATGGTAAAAGTCACCCGATGCTACAATAGTTGGAATTGCCATGGTGGCCGGGAGACTTAAGGCACACCAACTCTGGCCGGTTTAGTCCACTTACATTTCCATAATTGGGCCATTTGAGGTCCTCAAAACTTTTAGTGTCGGCCCAGGCATCGAAGAGCTCTTTGCCTGCCCTCGAAATAGATGGCTTAGTCCAGTCATTGGCTGGATACCCTTTGAATTTTCCGTGTTTGTCCGATAGAGCCGACTTGATTGATAGTAACATTTGTCAAACAACAATGGGTCCCTTTGGACGGGAAATTATATGAAAAAAATTATCTAAAATAACACTATAATACTCTTTGTGATGTAATATATATGAAATAAAAAAATAATTAAATTTTATATTTATGATGTAAGTAGAATAAATTTTGATTTTGATTTTGATTTTTTGCAAATTTTGGTAAATAGACAGACCTATTGAGATCATAATATTATATAGCTAGGGGTGACGTTGAATCAAGTAACTGGACTCGATCTCATTTTGACCGAGTTCAAATTTGAGATCCAATATTTTGTACTCAAAGTCTCGAGCCTTATCAAACCTTTTATAATATATATTTTAAACTTTTTATAATTATTATTGTGAAATGTCATTAATATCCTTTATTTAAAATTATATGTAAAATATTAATTTTTTATTACATGAGTTCGATTAGACTCGTATAGGTTTGATTAAATCCGATTACACTCGAATAGATTCAATTGAACCTAATTTGACTTGATTCTGTTTAATTAACTTGAGCGGGAGTACGGTAAATTGAAATCGAGTTTGAACTCGAACTCAATTTTTAAAAACTCGACGAGTTTGAGTTATTAATTTATCTCGAATCGAGATCAAGTAGTACATTATTCGAGCTCGACTCGACTCAAATGCGCCTCTAATGCAACTCTCAAGTCACTAATCGAATTCTGACTCGATCCAAGTGCGTCCCAATGCAACTCTCAAGTCATTCATTTTCTTCTTGAAAGACTTATTAGAGTCCAACATAAGTAGATAAAGAGCGAAGGGCTCTGATGACCTGGATGTTTTCGTCGTCCTCTCACGTGCGCTGTGCGTGGTTCCTGACGACGTCGTTTTGTGTTGTTCGCCATTGTGTTCCTCACGCATGACTCTTCGAACTCTAACCCTAGGTCAGACCAAAACGCCGCCTCTCTTCCCTTCCCTTTCTTCTCCTCGTCTCTCTCCTCAACCTTTCTCTCCGATCATTCTTCTTCCTCTCTCTCTCGATCTTGACCTCTTTATTTTCTCCTCTGACTTTCTCCATCACACCGTCTCCCTTTCCTCTAAGAGCTCCTTCTACCCGCAACATTTCGAGTCCCCCTTCTCCCACCTCCCTGTGATTTCCATTCCACCTCCCTGCGCTTCAAGTTCATCGTCGTCGGATCCCCTCCCAGCCTTTGGGAGGACTTTCGATCCCACCACAAGATCCTCGCAGTCATCAGCATTTTTTACTGCTCTTCCTCCCTCGATCTCCATTCTCTCGCCCTTCAATTTTATTTTTAAATTTTTTGCTCCTCATTTTTTTTGCAGCCTGAATATCAATATTAGGCAATATTTCGGTGTTTTTGGCTTTTCGATTATTTTCCTGTTTCCCAGTCTACATGCGAAGATGCCTTTGCTTTCTTGTGATGTTTTGCTTTGGTTTTCCAAAACGTCTTGAAATTCTATAGCTTAAGAGATGGTCATTTAGTGGTTTTTTTTCTTGTATCTTGGCTGATTGTATTCTTTTTTATTTTTCAGGGGATTTTTCTTCAACAGCTTCAACAACAGGGTGTAACACCATTTGGGACGAACTGCATCCCAATCAGATACTCCCAGGTAATGCAAAATTCAACGAATACAATTGACAAAGAATCTCGATTAGTTTCTGCAAAGCTATCTTCAGCCGAAGAACTGATAATGTTGTATTATACCACCACTCCATTAAAATACAAGCAATCGAGATGTAATCCCGAAGATTCAATGCCTATTTTTTTTTAATTTGGAAATAAATATTTTAGCAGCACATAATTTATGATATGATTTTCTATAAGCGACTGGTCTGACAGTATCATGTGGAGAGTTGGCCTTTTTGTGCCTAATTGATGAATCTCCAACTTTACACGTTGCAAACCGATGCTCATATGTGCAATGTCGTTTTTCAGTTAACTACAGCTGTGATTGGATGCACTAATGTAAGAGACATCTTTTCACCACAAATCCCTTAATATTTTAAGAACTCATCCCTATGAAGAGAATTTTGAGAAAGAGATCGGTCAACATGATTGCCCGTGATTTTATTCATTTGTTATTTTTTAGAGGTTTTTTTTTTGGTCATAGTGAATTGGATGTGAGTTTTTTGATGATTTTGATGAATTGGAGTCCTATGTGTTTAATTGCTTTTAGATCCGTGACTTTTCTTTTCTTTTGGTTGTAATAGTCGAATTCGGATCTTTGTTGTGCTTTTGCTCTGTTGTATATTTGTGTATGGATTCGTGTGCACTGCCAGTTTTTCGTCTATTGCCGTGTATGCTATTTAGGAGATAGGTGGACTACCATGGAAAACTACTGTGTTGGAATGCGAAATCGATTTTTGACATCATTATGTTTGCTGATTTGAAGTGATTTTGAGCTATTCTTGTAAGGGAAGATGTAAAGAAGTTTTTTTTTTCGTTTTCTTTTCCCCATGATGAATTTGTAGGTGTGTGCACTGTAAGAAGCTTGCTCCAGCGTACGAGAAGGTCGGTGCAAGTTTCAAGAAAGTTAAATCTATTTTGATTGGAAAGGTTAGCCTTTCAGCTCTTTTATGATCCATTGACCCTTTCAGATATGGTAGGAAAAGTCTCATTTTTACTCTAGGTTCGTAGTATTGCTATATCAATTAGGACATTTGCCATGGCTTATTAAGTAGTTTAGCTAAAGTTGGTACAATCTAAAGCTTTAAACTTCTGGAATGTTACTATTGCATTGCTGTAGAGAACTCATATATGATGCAAAATTCATGGTTTTTGCCATGCTATCGTGGTGGGCTTGTTTTAATGAATTTTGGAG